TATCAGTAAACCATGTATAACAAAAATAAATAATTGTGCCGCAACTTCAATCCAACAGTCGCACAATTAATGCGAATCACTTATCTTCCACCACAATAAGTATTTCACATGTTGTTCATTTTTTGTTACCTAAAAAAGTCCCTTTTTCACCCAAGACACATGGATGCCTCAATCACCAACTGAAACTGCACTCACCCTTGACAAAGTCTTCTGTGATGAAACACATCAGGGTTGAGCTTGGTAACACGCAAAGAAGGTGGTATCTAGGATGGCAGACTGTGACTGCAATTTGAATTGGCTGTAGTGCACTGACAGAAAGGAGAGAGACAGTACCTCTGTATTCAGGCTGATGTACAGGTGAAACTCGAAAAATTAGAATATCGTGCAAAAGTTCATTTATTTCAGTAATGCAATTTAAAAGGTGAAACTAATATACGAGACTCATTACATGCAAAGCAAGATAGTTCAAGCCGTGATTTGTCATAATTGTGATGATTATGGCTTACAGCTCATGAAAACCCCAAATCCACAATCTCAGAAAATTAGAATATTGTGAAAAGGTGCAATATTCTAGGCTCAAAGTGTCCCGCTCTAATCAGCTAATTAAGCCATAACACCTGCAAAGGGTTCCTGAGCCTTTAAATGGTCTCTCAGTCTGGTTCAGTAGGAATCACAATCATGGGAAAGACTGCTGACCTGAGAGTTGTGCAGAAAACCATCGACACCCTCCATAAGGAGGGAAAGCCTCAAAAGGTAATTGCAAAAGAAGTTGGATGTTCCCAAAGTGCTGTATCAAAGCACATTAATAGAAAGTTATGTGGAAGGGAAAAAAGTGTGGAAGAAAAAGGTGCACAAGCAGCAGGGATGACCGCAGCCTGGAGAGGATTGTCAGGAAAAGGCCATTCAAAAGTGTTGAGGACTTTCACAAGGAGTGGACTGAGGCTGGAGTTAGTGCATCAAGAGCCACCACACATAGACGGATCCTGGACATGGGCTTCAAATGTTGTATTCCTCTTGTGAAGCCGTTCCTGAACAACAAACAACGTCAGAAGCGTCTTACCTGGGCTAAAGAAAAACAGACCTGGTCTGTTGCTCAGTGGTCCAAAGTCCTCTTTTCTGATGAGAGCAACTTTTGCATCTCATTTGGAAACCAAGGACCCAGAGTATGGCGGAAGAATGGAGAGGCACACACTGCAAGATGCTTGAAATCCAGTGTGAAGTTTCCACAGTCTGTGTTGATTTGGGGAGCCATGTCATCTGCTGGTGTTGGTCCACTGTGCTTCATTAAGTCCAGGGTCAACGCAGCCGTCTACCAGCAGATTTTAGAGCACTTCATGCTTCCTTCCGCAGAAGAGCTGGGGATGCTGACTTCATTTTCCAGCAGGACTTAGCACTTGCCCACACTGCCAAAAGCACCAAAACCTGGTTCAATGACCGTGGGATTACTGTGCTTGATTATCCAGCAAACTCGTCTGACCTGAACCCCATAGAGAATCTATGAGGCATTGCCAAGAGAAAGATGAGAGATATGAGACCGAACAATGCAGAAGAGCTGAAGGCCGCTATTGAAGCATCCTGGTCTTCCATACCATCTCAGCAGTGCCACAGGCTGATAGCTTCCATGCCACGCCGCACTGAGGCAGTAATTGCTGCAAAAGGGGCCCAAACCAAGTACTGAGTACATATGCATGCTTATACTTTTCAGAGGTCCGATATTGTTCTATGTACAATGCTCGTTTTATTGATTGCATGTAATATTCTACTTTTCTGAGATTGTGGATTTGGGGTTTTCATGAGCTGTAAGCCATAATCATCACAATTATGACAAATCACAGCTTGAACTATCTTGCTTTGCATGTAATGAGTATCTCATAAATTAGTTTCACCTTTTAAGTTGCATTACTGAAATAAATGAACTTTTGCACAATATTCTAATTTTTCTAGTTTCACCTGTATTTAGCACCAATTCCATGTAAGTGTATTTTTTAAAATTAGATTTTTAAAAAGTTTTAGATTTTTGATTAAAAGTTGGGGTTTTTTTTCACTATGTGTACTCTTTTTGCTTTCTTGTTATATGATAGCTATATGAGAATACAGGAGTATATAATATCCGATTGTATCCTGGTGGAACAATCTGTATTTATTGCCTGTCTTTAATGAGAAAGGCAAAGGACAGGGTGAGTGCATTTTCAGTTGATGATGGAGGTGTTCACATGTGTTGGCTGAAAAGAAGTCTTTATGAAGAATAAAAAAATTAACACTATGTGAAATACTTACTGCAGTGAAAGAAGTGTGATTACACTGTATTGTTGGACTGATGGTAGGGCACAGAGATACAATGTTATTATTGTTTTACATTGTTTATTGATAAATATAGAATATAGAGAAATGGATGCGATTTACTGCTGCATAATGGATATATTATTTAACTACAGGTATGTCAGCTAAAGCAAGAGAAAATTGGCACATGCACAAATTGCAAATGATAACAGTAGAGAAAATGTATTTCAAACAGCAGAAGTCTACAGCTGATACTTCTAATTCTGCTTTTGAATAATTTTGTGTACAAATATCTGGAACTATAAAATGATTTTTACAATCCTAACTACCTGCCAACCCTTGAGGATACCCTTGCCAGGGTCAAGACTTGTTTTGCCAAATATCATTCCTAGTTTATCTGCATCACTCTCTTCAAGATGGATGTCCCACACCTTGTGTTTTATTATACACATATCAAGCCTTACACATTTCTCTCCAAACTGTGGTATTTTAGTTAAAATATATCATAGGGAGCAGTTGTGGTCCATAGATTGGCCTGAATATTCCATAGTACAGATAAATTGTGGGTCTCTGTTGAAGAATCCTTGTCTTCTCCCCCACCGAGCTCTATCCCATGGGTGCTACCTTTCCATTTACCCTACTCTCCCGTTCTGCATCCCTTTGTTGCTGAAAATGTGGGATTCTTATTAAGCAACTGTCAGCCTCCTTGCGTATTGAGAGTCTGACCCCATACTAGGGAATTCAATGTTCCCATCAGGGACAAATTGCTCTCACTTTTTCACCTAGGCACACAGTACCTTATCCCTGATCATGAGTGTATTCCATAATGGTCAGTTACTACCACTCTAACCTCCAACTTAAACCCCCTTTTTTCTCAGGAAGCTGGCTGCAATACCTGCAGCTTCATGGGTTAATTATCTCAAAGATGTCCCCACTCAACAGAGATCCAATTCTGTTTGAGACCCTGTGCCTTCAGGAGAGACCTTCTCATCTTATCTTGAAGCTTATACCAAACTGCTTAACTGCGTGTTCCCCTGTACCACTTATGTTTCTGCATATGAGAGGGACTTTGTTTCTCACAGAAAGCTCTAGATAAAACATTTGTGCTTATGCATAAAGCCAGTTTGTCATATGCAGCTCAAGAAAAAAAAAAAAAAAAATCTTTAAAACCTTGACATGCTGGTATAGCTGTCCCAATATTATATACTGCATACTTTATAGAAGTATACATTTTTATATACTTCATACTTTCACTTCAGCCTTTAAATTCTAACATTTTGATCAATACAGCTTAGTAACATGTCACAAACCTCAGTGTCCCCTGAAATAGCCCTCCTCTCCATATTTCCTGGGCTCATCTCCAAAGCTACCAAATGTCTGCTCCTATTCTTTCATTTGGCTGCCAATCTGGAACCCCAGCTTACTACTGTTGTGACAGTGAAAGCGTGAATTGCTGGATTTTCCCACCTGTGAATGCATGGGGAAACTGACAGTCCAATATCACAACTGATACACCACTTACATCACCACCTGGAGGGCCTGAATCACTTTTTTGGTTACCCAATGCCTGAAAGATAAAGATATTATATCATACCACTGAAGGAGATTTTAAATTCTGCAGGCTGTACGTTCTTAGCCCTGACTCCCGATACCCTCCTCCCACTTTCCTTCTGCCCCTGACTCCTAACTCTCTTACGCTTCTATCCTAATCTTGCCTTCTCTACGGTCTATTTTTTTTTTGTTGCTCTTTTCATAACTGAACAACTGGAGAAAAGGTCATCTGCAGCACTCAAAGGCTGAGCAAGTATCTATTCTCCTTCTAGTTCTACGTACTTCAGTGTCTATTTCAACAAACCATCTATCTGGCATCGCTATATCATTGTACCATGTGGCTCTCACGATGCACTTTAAATTATACGACCTGTTGTAATATGTGTCTGACTAGCTCATGTGCAGTACTTTCCTAATAAAGCTTTATTCTTATGATATTAAAAAAAGTGAGAATAAAACAAAATAGTAAATTATTCAGATCTAAACATTCTTACCATGACAAACATCATTGCTTGGGAAGAAGTCTGAAAAGAGAAAAGCCTGCTAAAGCTAGAATCATTGGGCTTTTATTTCATTTACAAAAGAGCACCACAACCACTTTAAGTGTATTCTCTGACACTGAAATACTGACAATCATCCTTTAATGACATAGGCAGCTCGTTGACCAACTTTTATGGTTGTTTGTATGTATTAGCTTTAAGAAAGCTGGTTTCTTTTAGATTGCTAAAAAAAAATAATGTAAGAACAGAAGCTTCCATTCTGTTGGGCAATTTATATTTACAATTGGACTTGGAAACAACATATACATCCTTTTTCCCTGAGAACCTAGTTTTGAATTTTTTCTATCCAATCAAACAATAAAAAGGGAGTAGAGTCTGTGTAAACACATGTATAAAAACACAAATGAGCAACATTCTGAATAACTGAAGAACACGTGGGAGGGAATGATCATGCTTGCCGATACCCTTAATCCTTTTATAAACAAGAGAAAAAAATCCTTAATATATGCAGCTGCAATCCAGAAAGAATGCAGGTTGTAGGCTGCATCTTCCCATAAGCCTCTATTCTCCAGTCAATTTTTTAGGTCAGTACATTCAGATAATAAATAAACATAGTCAACAGTGCTCTCCTTGTTCAAGAAATCCAGAGAAGACTTATGAAGGCTGCCCTCAGTCCGTTTTGGTGGCTTCCTTCTTGCTTGACTTGTATTCCTTAGCTATCTTCAGCAGAGACAGTAAGATAGGGACAGCCATGGGCAAGAACAGAGGAATATAAATGGCAAATTTCTGGTCATCTGGGAAATACAAGAGGTGAAGCAGGGAAGGGTCAAAGAAAGCCTTCTCTGAAGAAGTAATGGCTTCTTTGCTTGCTTTAAAAGCATTCTCCAGCCTGCCAGCTTCCAGTTCAGACAGTGCAATTTGAACAGACGACACTGCATGATATACCTGTGGAGGAAAAAGTTAAAGTAACAAAAAAAAAACAAAAACAGCTTTTTGACTTTCACTGTGTTTAATAGGATAACTTGCACATCTCCCACTAGTGGAGGGGCCAAATACACTGGTGGAACCCCTTAAGGGCTTATCTGTAGACCATCTCAGTTCATACCCAAGCCTCTTTAGGCATCAGCTACATTTGCCTTTGCATTGAATGCTGCCCACTGAAAGCTGCTTTGTTTCCATACAGGCACTAAGAGTTAACACCAAGAGCAAGCAAACTGGATGTGTCCAACTCATTGGCATTCAGTTGACACGCTATGCCCAGGTCTGCTTACTTGCACATTGGTTGTAAAGGTTCAACAAACTGTAGAGGAACCATTACACTGCCAGCAGCAGCACAACTCCATAGTGAGCCTTCTCCTTACACAGCTCTGTGGTACATCAGAAAGTAGTACAGCAATGTATATATCTTTTTTGGCTTTACCCAAGATGCACAATCCTTCACTATATATGCCTCCTACATTTGGAGTCAAATTATTGGGAATGGAAAAAAAGCAAGAAAAAATATAAAAATGAAAGCAAAAATCTTCCAAGTCCATATTTTGTTAAATATTGCTATCTGCAAAAAATTATATTTTACAGGACTCACCTCCGAGGCTACATTGTCATTGATGACAATGTTCCCAATCTGATCCAGTAGCTGAGCCAAGGAGGTCAATGTGGTAGTGACTGTAGCAATGTTTTCCACAGCTCTTGTCCAGAGAAGCTTATCTAACTCCCAGTCAGTCAGTCCTTCATTGCCTGGATTTTCCAGCTGATAGCTGGCAGGCACATATACTTTTTGATATACCTAAAAGAAGCCTAGAAATAAAAAAACAAAAAAGGTCATACATTAGGTGATAATGCTATTTAATAACACTGCCCAAAGAGCAGTCTTGAAAAGCCGTCATTAGCCAACGTAGACTAGTAATTGATAAAAGGACACAGGGTCAAAACAGGCTTCACTGAATAACTGCCATTGCTGATTTCGGTCTAAAAATGCTACCTGCCTGGCTGTCTTTACCATCAGTACTTTTCAAATCCTTGACCAAAAACAAGCATACAGCTAGTGAAATCAGAATAAAGGACACTGCAGCCAACTTACTGCTCCGCCATCTGCAGACAACACTCTGCGGTACACCTCAGCCTCTACACTGAAGCTGTCAGGAATGGACTAGCCAGCAATGGTGGGACTCATCTGCCTTTTGATCTGCAGTACCAGGGCTGGCCAGCGGGTGCTCCCAGCAATCAGAGACTCAACTTTGCAGCCAGCTAACACCTGGAACTGATTATGCTGGGGTATTTAAGGGATGGCCAGACTTGCAGACTCTGCCTTGGTGTTGTGTTCTCTTGGGCCCTGTATCCTGTTCCTGCTCTCTGTTCCTGTCTGATTCTCTGCTGACCCTGCTCTGATCCCTGGCTTGTCTGACCATCCCTCTGCCTGACCCTCTGTACTACACTGCTTGCTACCTGTTCTGATCCCTGGCTTGTGACCCTGACCATCCCTCTGCCTGACCCTCTGTACTACGCTGCTTGCTACCTGCTGAACCTGGCCTGTGACCCCGACCATTCTCCGCTTGCTCCCCCTGTACCTACCTGCCCTATTGATATTGACCTGGCCTGCCTGACGACGCTTGCTTGTATGTACTGTTATCTGTGGGTGGTTGGTTTGGTTTGGTTTGGTTGCACTGTATTATGTTTTAGTATTGCACTGCGTTTATGTTTGTATTGTTAGTGTTAATAAATTATATTATTTATAACATATCTGAGGTCTGCGTTTCCCTGCGTCAGTCACACACCTCTGGTCACACCTGGGAGCCCTGACAGAAGCCCAGATTTTATGAAGAGCTTAAAATTGAGGTACAATGTGATATAGTCACTGTGCTCGGTTTTAAAAGAGGCCAATGTTTTGAATCCCATGGATCAGCAGAACAGCCAGCCAACTAGCATTTTCAAAAGCAGAGTTCAACCTTGGCAGCCCATGTATTTTATCAGTACAGGTTTCCTTGAAACCAGTTGGACCCAATGAAAGTGCAATCTAGGACACATTAAATGTATGCACGTATCTTGAGCTGATCCATATAACCGAAAACTAAAATTTGTCAAGATTTATAGAATACCTACCGTAACTGTGTCAGAAAAACCTCCATGACTGATATCATGTCAATATTAACATGTACTGGAAATTCCAGCTCCTCCAGATTCCCATAGTTCACATATTATATACCTGCAGAGACATGAATGATTCACAGGGAAGATTGTAAAACAAAATTGTTGTGATTGCAGTTCTAAGAGTGTTCAGGCTTTTAGTCTTGCTTAGGATGTAAGCAGTTAATAATGATCAAAGCAGACCTTGCAGTACAAGGTCCATATACTGTATGTCAGGGCCCCCTCCCTCTTTAAAAATCATCTGTATCATCAGTAAGTGTAAACATTACCTGTGAATAAAAAAAGCTCAGATTTGTACTTATCCCTGAGAGTATCACTGCCCTACTAGGAAGATTCTTTGGGAATGCAGGGCAGGCCAAAACTCACAAAAATGCATTCTAATGCATTGCAAGAATGTCTTCTTTCACTGTGAAGCGCAGATGAGGTGCATAAATGGGAATTTGCAGATAGCCATCTTGGATGACTAAGAGTGGCAAGTATTCCCCTTGTGTCAGAGAGGCAATAACTGACCTTGTGGATTCCATGTAAAATTTTGGAATTTGAGGGATTTTAGGTCCAGAAAAGGTAGTTTACTCCATTGGTCTGAGACATATGTGACCCAGAAAGAGGCAAACTGTGACAGACCTCCCCCGAGGAGGAATGAGTGAGCCCCTCACTGTGAAGAGGGCTTTTGGGAAGACTTGGTAAGCTTTGTGGGCCATGTCCTACACCAAAAGGAAGGACTGAACATAGGTTTTGAAGATGAAGCCTGGGTGTAGTGAGTTTGACAAGGTACAGGCTCCTGAGGAAGGGGGTTACTGAATCTTCTGCTGTTAAAGCAGAACATCCCCTCCTGTGATATCTTTAATGAATTTGTCAAGTGTCTCACAAATAAAGTTGTCCTCCTTCAAAAGGGCATACTGTATATGTGAGATGTCTTTTACAAGCTGCTCCAGCTGTATAGGCTTTGAGCCACAATATTTTGCACATGTAAATGAAGATTATAGCCAATCTGGAAATTTGTTTAATTAAATCCAAAGCAAAAAAGTGGAGCAGGAACTGCAGTAACTGCTCAGTTAAGGAATGGTCCTGGAACACAGGACCATATTGGTTGTTCATTGGCCTGGTTCAGTTAACTGATTGACAGACAGAAATTGCACTGATAGCAGATTGAAGAACTGGGTCAAGCATAAAGACCCTTTAAGAGCATATCAAACTTAATGTCTGTAGAAACTTTGAATGAAAAAACATCTTCAACAGGTACAGCAAGATGTTTAAGACTGAGAATGTAGGCTCAACCAGCAGAACAGACCACTATTAGTGTATACATTTTCCACTGGATAGGAGCTCAGTAAAGATTTTTGGAGTAGTGAAAATATTTTCTGAATTGACCCAATCATCATTGCCCATTCTATTTGTCCATTAACAGGAAATGTTTTTTGTTAGATTTATCAGGTCTCTTTGTACCCAAAAGGAGCAAGGCGAGATGAAAGAGAATGAAGTGCGACAATACTGAGGCTTTTGCACACAGCAGAAGTGAGCATATCCACATTAGTAAATATATTACATGAAGCTGTAGGTTCAGCTGTGTAGGAGTCTGGGGTGATCATTCTTTTTAGAGCCTCCTCTAACACGGTCTCCAGGTCCTCTTCTTTCCCTTTATGTAAAACTCATCTAGGCTAGGCATATCAGGATCCAACACAGGTAGAGATGAAGGAGCTGCAGAAGGGGCCCCAACTCCAACCCTTGACAGAGATGGCTGTTTTAAAGCTGTTAGTTGTCAGAGAAATTGCAACAGTCGCAGAACATTCTGCCTATGTAAGGTTCAGCTTTCAGCAGGAAACGTTCACTTGAGTTTTTGCCATGGCTCCCTTTCACCTGGTTTCCACCCTAGCTACAGGTGAGGGTGGTCCCTTGTGGGGCACTCAGTAGGGCAGGGATTATGGGGCAAGATTGTTCAGAAGTAGTATGCAGCAACCCAGATGTAGACTGTCCTGTAGCAAAGTCCTTATGGCGAATTGGTGGAAGTGTCTGAGTACCTTATAAGGGTACCCACGCACAGGTATGGCTTCCAAGGTTTTACCAAAGTTGCACTGCTTCTATTGTGGTAATAAAAGACAGTGATGAGTTGACTGAAAAATCTGAAGATAAATTAAACATTTAGTTAAGCGAAGAGTGATTTCTTTGTAAGTGGGAAATGGTCCATCACCTTAGCACACTAGCAAAAAATGAGGGCTCATGAAGTGGGGTAAGGTGTGGAAAAGGTGGGAGTTTTACCCAGGGGGCATGTCCTTAATCACCTGAAGGTATGAGTCTACAAACTCAAGGTCTATAAATACTCAGCTTTTGTCCAGTACTGTACGATTAAGATATGTGATCAATAAGGGAAAAACAGTTCAGCATTAAAAGGGGGAAAAAGGTTTAAATTAGCCAATTAGGTTAAATAGAGTATAGTTTTTATGAAAGTAAACCAAAAAAAATACTTCTGGGGGTTTTTTTCCCCCACTTTCTAGCAGCAAGTCTTGTTATGATGAAATCACAGAACATACCTGTGATCTACAATGAGGCTACAGCAGTGTAACTTCGTAACTACTCCGTTACACTATTTAATCTGTACAGTTATTATGCAATTAGGAGCCAATGTCACTGGTTTGCTAGATTACAACATAATAAAAGGCCCCAATGGTTCTGTGTAGACTCCTGCAACTTATTCAAGATCTCGAAGAACTAGAGAAAATACTCCAAGGTTGTTATAAGACATAGCAGGTCCTTAAGGCTTGGTGGATCAGAATTGTGAGACCCTAAGTCACATGGCATGTGAAATCCCATGTTAGTCGATGAGAGCTGTCTTAATTAGCAGTACTGAAGTCACTCCACCTTTAGAAAAGGTTCCTGTACTACTTCAAGGAGACTTCTATCAGGCTTGTGCACATAGACTTTAGTGGAAGTCACCTCCAAGTCGGATGCTCATCTATATTGATTGTGTTTTGGATCTGACATTACAGGAAGATTAACCAGGCAAAGTCGCATGGCATGAAAGTAAAGCACCAAAGTTGTCCTCAAGTCACCAGCAAATTGACAGGAAGTCGCCTGGCAAAGTCACACTGTAAGCCGCACGACTTTCAGGTCGCAATAGTATGAACTGAGCCCACCTAGTTAAAGAGATAGCACAAACTGCTACATTAGTGACAATTTTCCTGCACGGAGCACTCATGAATGTGCAAAGATCAGCAATTAGCTGTTGAGGTTCAGACATCCCTCTACAATAACAGAAATTTACATGAAAGACTGTCCATAAAACTGTAATATATATTCTTCCTACCCTGGACATTTATTATTCAGAACTGTAATACGTTCGTAAAGGAAAACAACAAATGCTGGTCCTGGACAAGTACTGGACTTCTCCAACGTCAGGTTTTAGAGAGTTGTAGTATACCAATAAATACATAAGGCTGTACGAATCAACAAATACCTATGTACCACAAATACAATATTAATAATTGTAATTGAAACAGTTGGACATTGGGGTTAATCCTGATTAGCTAGCAGAAAGCTCTCTGTGGAAAGAACGCAAACTCTGCTGAGTGAGTTAACATATGTTGCTGCAAGCACTTAGTATAATATATCCTCTTGATCCAATCATTTTAGCCTCGGATTCTATTAGCAAAAAGCCGAGTTAAAATGGCACCGCTGTGCCGTGCGTTTTTCCCAAGCCTCTTTTTAAAACTGCGCCTGTGACTACTTACCACCCTGGCCCCATTTGGACTTAACTTGTTATGACCAGGCCATCACTTAACAGTATTATTTTTTAAAAAATGTGCAGGAGACAATGGAGTAGCATCTACTGTAACAGGGCATTTGCTGCCTTCACAGGAAGTTTTTCCAAAACTATATTCTGGGACTAGAGTAGGGATTAGGATTAAAGCTATGGGTGGCAATTTTGGAGAAAATCTCCAAAAAGGTACTCAAAGCAAACAGCTGAACACACAGATAAAATACATAAAAGGGAGCTGTTTTACCTGTCAAATAACTGGTATTTCTTTTTTTAACCAGTTCTGAGATTTTCACAGCTCTGCCACACCACACACTCTTGTCTGGCAGGAGAAGAGACCTGAATAATTTTCTCAGTTGCAGTTCAATAATACTTACAGGTCTCCTCACCACCAAATGACTGGTCAGTCAGAAAAGTGAAATAGCAAAATGATGAATTTCTCTGTCACTCTGCTCCCTTCTCCTGCCAACATGCTACTTGCACTGCAGTACAGCTGACTGGCTCATTGTGCTGCTTCTCCTCCCTCAGTATTAGCTCTGTTGTACAAGGACTGCAAGAGGTTGATACCAACCAAAAATCAGATTCTTACACCACTTCGATGAAAAATACATTTAAGGATGTAATAATGATTACAGCAATGTTTTGTTTTTTGTTTTTTTATTTACTTGCCTGGAGTTCAGCTTTTAAATATACAGAAAGTACCTGCTACTCCATTAGAGAGAGGACTTCTGGTTCCTGTTTCTTTGCAGGACTTTCATTCAGAAGCCTGCACTGCTGCATGATTTATGCCAATCAAGCACTGACCAAGGGGGATGACATGAAACATTTCAAATAAAGTGGTAACATCCTTCCATGATCTGGCATACTGAAGTTATCTTTTCCATGTTACAGGTGAGGCTGGCATTTGGTTTTTAGTATTGAGAGTAGGCCTATACTCAAAAAGATGAGATTTAAAGTCTTATAAGGAATACAAAACAGTAAATCTTTTAGTAAGGCAATTGTGGTTGAGCAGTATCCTGAATTAGAAGTGTGCTTCTTGACTATGTGACAATTCCTTGGCACTCCTGCATCTTTAGTGTGAAATCGTCCAAGACATATTGTGCCCACACATGACTCTGCTAATTGCTATTCTCACCAGATTTGGAGTGTCTTCCACCAGTAAAATAAACCTGTACCTACCATGATACCACCCCAACGGGGGCTGTGAAATGCATTACTGGGTACCCTCCTGCCATCTTTGTTCTGAATGTAGAGGGGAGAGTGAAAATACTCCGGGACGTAGAGTAAAAAGTTGAGTACAGGGTACAGAGAGGCAGCACTGGAACCTGGAAACATACAGGTAATGGTAGACAAATAAAGTAAGAAGATCCAAAAGGAAAGGAATTAGAGAAATACACAAACAATATATTGTATACTCTCAGTATTTAAACTACCAGTACTAAATCCTAAAGCTTAATTCAAGTTTTCTGCAATCAATTGACTTAACCCCAACAAAGTTTCAGAAAAACAGGTGTTTCTTAAAAATATAAACATATTTAAAGTGCACATCATATGTGATTTCAAGATCTATTTTCAGTATGTTTGGCATCATGCCTCACTGCATACAGTTTGAGTATTTTTTTTTTTTTCTTGACTCTGTTGCAAATATTCTTACTTAGAGACTCTGACAGTGACAGCACTTTCAGTTTCAGACTAACAAAAGATTTTCAAAAAATGATTTGCTTAAAGCTGAACTTCAGCCTTACTTTCAATCAGTGCTGTACAGGCTCCTCTCTTCCCTAATGAAAATTGCTTACTCCGATTTCACTGCACATTGTGAGCTTCTCACAGTGTGCATTAGAAACTGCAGAAGCATTTTCCAACTACAAGATGTCCAGCATCATTTAGCCCTGTTTTTTTCAACCTATTATCAGTCAAGGCACCCTTTAGAATTGCGCAAAATCCTGGGGAACATCAGTCTGAGGGCTTGTTTACACCAGGAGGGGTTTACGAGCAAGAGTGCATTTTTGTGTGTTCCCGCATATTACATTTTTTAATGGGCTGCTCCATGAGTGTCAAACACGCAAAAAAGGTGTCTGCATTATTATTAAAATCCGCAGCACCAAAACACGTGGTACTATGACATCATGCATTTTAGCAAGTACAAGCGAACGTGCATTTGCTAAATGTGTGTGGGTGTCATTAACCACTTGCTGCCCCGCCCACAGTAAAAGTACTGTCGGCAGGTGGTGCGGCCAGGCTCAACAACGTAAATATACGCTGCTTAGCACATACAGTTGTGTTCAAAATAATAGCAGTGTGCTGAAAAAATTGAATAAAGCTCAAAATCCTTCTAATAGCTTTTATTTCCATACACACAAATGCATTGGGAACACGACACATTCTATTCCAAATCAAAACATGAAGAAAAATATATCAAATTTGTGTTGTTCCTCTAACAAAATTGAAGAAAAGTGAATATTAGACTGTTCAAAAAAATAGCAGTGTTTGTATTCTTCTTTACAAACTGAAACATTCACTATATAAACTGAAAAATGTTTGAAGATTTTGCTTTCCTTTGAATCACTTAATATTTAGTTGTATAAGCACTGTTTCTGAGAACTGCTGTACATCTGTGTTGCATGGAGTCAACCAACTTCTGGCACCTGTGAACAGGTATTCCAGCCCAGGATGATTGGACTACATTCCACAGTTCTTCTCTATTTCTTGGTTTTGCCTCAGAAACAAACTGCATTTTTGATGTCACCCCACAAGTTTTCTATTGGATTAAGATCCGGGGATTGGGCTGGCCACTCCATAACGTCAATCTTGTTGGTCTGGAACCAAGATGTTGCACGTTTACTGGTGTGTTTGGGGTCGTTGTCTTGTTGGAACACCCATTTCAAGGGCATTTCCTCTTCAGCATAAGGCAGCATGACCTCTTCAAGTATTCTGATGTATTCAAACTGATCCATGATCCCTGGTATGCGATAAATAGGCCCAACACCGTAGTATGAGAAACATCCCCATATCATGATGCTTGCGCAACCATGCTTCACTGTCTTCACAGTGTACTGTGGCTTGAATTCAGTGTTTGGGGGTCGTCTGACAAACTGTCTCCGGCCACTAGACCCAAAAAGAACAATCTTACTTTCATCAGTCCACAAAATGTTGCGCCATTTCTCTTTAGGCCAGTCAATGTGCTCTTTGGCAAATTGTAACCTCTTCAGCACATGTCTTTTTTTTCAACAGTGGGACTTTGCGGGGGCTTCTTACAGATAGCTTGGCTTCACATAGGCGTCTTCTAATTGTAACAGTACTCACAGGTAACGTTAGACCTTCTTTCATCTTCCTGGAGCTGATTGTTGGCTGAGTCCTTGCCATTTTGGCTATTCTTCTATCCATTCGAATGGTAGTTTTTCGCATTCTTCCATTTCTTTCAGGTTTTAGTTGCCATTTTAAAGCATTTGCGATCATTTTAGCTGAGCAGCCTATCATTTTCTGCACTTCTTTATATATTTTACCCCGCTCCAATCAACTTTTTAATCAAGGTACGCTGTTCTTCTGAACAATGTCTGGAACGACCCATTTTCCTCAGAATTTCAGAGAGAAATGCACTGTAACCAGCATGTACAACATTTGCTGCCTTCCTTCCTTAAATAAGGGCAATAATTGGCACCTGTTTTTCAAAGAATGAATGACCTCACTAATAGAACTCCACACTGCTATTATTTTGAACATGCCCCTTTCAATTAGTGATTCAATTACACAGAATCAGCAGCATGCATGTCATGA